CGGCCGCGTTCTTCGCCGCCACATTGATCAACTACATGTGAGGCGGGACTCGCCTGGGGTTCCTCCTCAGTCTCCTCTGGGGGGGGAGGAGGAATGGGGAATGCATTCTGGGAATCAGAATCAGCTGCCAACAATGGTTGTGGGGAACGACATGGGTACTCAACACCCAAGTTCCACAGGAGATTCAGGTAGCAATTCATGGGGAAGGGGGCACACAGACACCCCCACACACACTCCAGCCTGGGAGTCCCACCGGAGGTATACTAATTATCCACACCTCACAAACAATACTCCAGACACGGAGAACAGCTGGGAGCATACTCACAACTCACAATATGCAAGAGAGCAGGCAAAACAAAGGGGGAACACGTCCTTTGCAGAAATGGCTCATAGAAGAATGTCCCCATGCATAAGGGCTAATAGGGAGGCATCCCTAGACCCTATCACTACAGAAAGGAGCCAGGAAAACCACACTCCGTCAGGAAACACGGAGATGAGTTCAGAGGGGCTGGAAAACTCCATAGGTGGTAGGTCAACCAGGTATAGCGATCAACAGAGTCCTGACTTCTCGAGCCTAGGAGATGGGCAGGAAAGTCAAACAGAAGTCACAGGACAACCACAGGTCAATTCACCTAGCGTGGGAAGCAACGGGGAAAACACTACAAGTTCCCCAGGTCCGAGAAGGTCGCTAAGGGTCAAAGGCCCTCCCAAATACCTTGCAGATTACGTAAGGTGAGCATGTAAATAGTAATAACTGAACTAGAGGTCCAGGCTGGTTGACTCTACGGAAACGATGTGGGGCCATTGGGTCTCTGTACGACGGAACAGCCCCACACTTTACACACACTGTGACAGTAACTCAACAGCTAATTATACAAACCATTACTATGATGGTGTCCATGTGGGTGCAGTATTATTTCATCTAGGGGGGAGGGGTGTTGTGTCCTGAGCCTGCATAAGCAGGCTCAGGACATTGCAAGAGTCCCGGGCATTTGCAAAAGCTGCCCGGGACCAGACTGAGTGGCGCCGGCCTTGCGCGCATGCGCAAGGCGGGAAAAGACCGCCTTGTGATTGGTTGGAGTTGCCCGGGGATCAGAAGGTATAAATAGAGGCCTGCGTGCCTCTGCTCGGGTTGTTCGTAGATTGGAAGCAGAGAATAAAGACTTGTTAGAAATGCTTCGTCTCAAGCGCCATTATTCTCCGGACTTAACACTAACTGAACTGAGAGAAGAAATAAATGCCCTGAAAATATAAGTAGTATATAAGTAGACACATGGAAAGTATGTCTTTTAGTAAAAGAAAAAGATACAAGTGGAGAATCCCTTTGCTAACTATCTTACATCTTTTGCACCTCGTAGTGAATAGGTTTGTACAGGCAACAAACCTATGCATACAAAGTTGATTTGCAACAATTGATTTGTTTTCACTAAAGTTCACAGATTATATTACAAATTTATTTTGTCAGGCTATACATTTTAAACTGAATAAAAACTAGTTTCAAAAAAATTAATTTATTTAGTGTAGTGAAATAAATAAGGTTTGGATATTTGAAAAGGGCCATTCTGCTGGCATACAGCATCCAATGGTGAAAACTAGATCTTTCTGCTCCTCCACTGCTCCAAATCAGTTTCAGAGGACTGGAGGACTTTCCAGAGCAGATTTGGAGCAAGCACAGCCAAAATGAGAGGAAAATCAAACACTGTCCTTTTATATGAGCAGAGATTTGCTTGCATAATGTTTGTGCCATGACTTTTAAAGAATAATCCATCCAGAGTGTTATTCTAATTTCTAGCTTTATTGGTATCCCACCTTCTGATTCAACAATGCTTTGGTTCTAGTACATTGTTGTTATTTATTGTTAATGCTGTATATATATTATAAAATAAAAATAAAATAAAAATAATAAAATAATAAAATCTTATGTTATCTTTCCAAAACACTGTTAAAATCAAGCACTTGCAATAAAATAAAACAAAGCTAAATTATTCTAAAACCATAATCAAACCAAAAAGACAGCAAATTTTCAGTTCTGTTAATGTCCAACAATATAAATCTCTGCAACACATATAACAGGTTTCTGACTTAGTCTTATTAAATAAAAATTACTTCTCCCTTTGATAATTTCCACAAAGCAAATTTCATCCAGCAAAGATAATATGTTAAGACATCCTAAATTGAATTTGTCTGTTATACTGAATTATTTTAATGTAATCAATACAAAATTGTTGCCTGCTTCCGCAGAACAAAGGATGCAGAAATGCATGAATATGTTTTCATCTATATCTCTGGTTCACAAAGGACCTTTAATTATAACAATATGTGTATTCTTTTACAAGCAAAACAGTTTTAAAACCAGATGATTTTAAATTGTTGTTTGTCTGTCAATCATATTATATATAGGATAGTGATATTCTTACGTGAAATCCTTTTAATCCTAGCTCTTGTTGTCTGGGATTAGTCTGTAATCCTTTTTGTTGTGGTAGCCAAGTATCTAAAACAATATGTAATTGTCTTCCATTACATTCATTTCAATCCTGTGAGATTATATGCCAATACCAATGGCAGATGATATGTGCAGTTAGCCAGTACAAAGTTTCTTAGTGTTGTCATACTTGTATATATCTTTCAATCTCATTTAAGGGTATTGTAGGTTTGCCAATACATAAAATAACCAACTTGTTCAGAAGAGGAAATTTAGTGTTTTCCAGATTATAACTTTGCCGTAATATTTTTGAGGGCTATCTGGAGCAAAAGGAATTGAGGAACAAAGAGTGCCAGATTGTATACTGATCTAGCTGCTTGATAAATTTGTGGATCAATTTGTCTATTTATTTATTTACTTATTATTAATTTGTTTAATAGTGAAATAAATATATAAAAATGCAACTTAGTACTGCAGTCTCAATTTAAGATATAAAGATTGGATGCCCATTTAGAAGAAAAACCTATGGGACAGCCAGTAAAATATGAATAAATAAAAATTAGACAAAGTCCTCTGAGATTCAAAGTAATGTGCAAATCATCAATTGATTGATTATGTGCCATCAAGTCAGTGTTGATTCTTAAAAACATACGGATTTTCTCCATGATAATCTCTAACCTGGTCTTTCAGGCATTTCAATGATTCACCCATTGCCACTGGAATCAAGTAAATCCACCTTCCAGATAGTCTTGCTCTTCCTCTCTTTCTTTCCATTTTTACCAGCAAAAGTGCCTTCTCCAGAGAGCTGGATTTTCCCTTAATGTGCCTGAAGTAGGATAATTTGAGTTTGGTCATTTGTACTTCAAACTTTGGGTTGATCTGTTTTATGATTCATTTGCTTGGGTTTTTTGGCTATCCGTGGTATTCTCAGGAGTCTTTTCAAACAATAAAGTTCAAAAGCATCAATGTTGTTTCTATCCAGGTTCTTCAAAGCCATACTTTTACTTCTATAAAGTGTCACAGGGAATACCATTGCCTGCACTATTGTTGGGAAACTGCCAGCTGGGCTGGAAGGAGGAGTCATGTAAGGACCTAGCCTAGAGTTGTTGTGCAGCCACAAGTAGCATAAACTTGACCTCCCCCAAGATCCATGATTTTCCCAGGGGAAATCAAGCCTTGAGATCCTTGTAACATAGGTGGTAGACAGTACCGACTTCAGCTGTTCACATGTGGTTCTGTTTGCTTGCATCTCACAACTATTCTATATTTGTGGACACACATCTTAAAATCTTTTGGAAGGTCTTCATGGATTTTCTACCAAGTACTAGCCCATGTGTATTTCTTGTGCTTGTTCCCTTACTTTTGATGGTTGATCCCAAAAGGCAGAAGCTATCTACCACTTTAATATCTTCATTATTAGTTCTAAGGCTGGGTTTTGCCATTGTTACCATTAATTTGGTTTTCTTCATATTTAATTTCAGACCATTTTTTTCACTGTGCTGCTCAACTTTTATTACTACAGCTTGCAGCTCCTTTGCATTTTCAGCTATCAATGTTGTGTCATCAGTATAGTGCAGGTTATTGATGTTTCTTTCTCTAATGTTAAAACCACACTCATCTTCTTCCAATCCAATTTCCCTTAATATTTTATTCAGCATGTAAATTGAATAAATAAGGGAAAAAATATTGGATGTTCTAGGAAAGTGTATCAAATAGTACCAATCATAAACAGGAATGCAGCAAAACAATTAACAAGCCTAGCATATTTTATCTAGGTGTAGCATATTTTACCATGGAGGAAGAACGTTCAAAGAATTCCACCTGCCCAACCACCTTTTGCATTTCATGGTTCTACTTCATGCATCTACTATTTCATTCTAGCCACATTCTGAGACTTTTCCCGACATTCTGAGACTTTTAGGAATTGTAATCACTATGAATTGCATCAGACTGGATGCCATTCCACTCATGAAGAGTTGACATCCTACATGCTTGATTGCTTCTAGCTCATTCTATCAACTGTGTTGTGGGAAGGAGAGTGAGTGAAAGGCGGTGTAAGATGAACCCAATAGCTTGCTCTGATTGCCATCAGTTACCATCAAGTGTCTTGTGGGAAGGTTCTTTGAATTTTGTTTCTTTGTTTTAAATAATATGTATTGTTTGATGCAATGGTTGGAAAGATAATTTGGGTGGATTATAATCCTGAACAGCAAAAAATAAATAACTGCAATAAATAAATAAATATGTAAATATTTACAGTTTCAGCTTTCCATTTTTAATGTTTTGTTCTATTTATTTTTGCTAGGCTGTTCTGAGTGTTCTATCTGGACAGGAATGCAACATATCCATCTAATAAATAAATACAAAAAGCCATAGTCTCTTGAAAAACTAAGGATTAATGCTACAGATATGGCATGTCCATAAATATCTCACCACACAATGTACTGTATCTATTCTATGTGGATTTCTCCTTGATGTTGCCAAAGAACTATTCATACTTGCAATGGTTAGATGTGCTTGTAAATCAGCTTTGGATAATATGTAACTCTGTGCTCAAAATATCCAACTCTAATTACAGGTTGCTGAGCAACTTATCAACCCATTTGGTGAAGATGATGATGATTTTGAAACAAATTGGTGCATAGATAGGAATCTCCAGGTAACACCCTTTTGCTTCAGCTGATTACTATTTTTTGCTGTCTTGCAACATCATAAGTTTATGCAATTTCTAGCAAGCTACAGCACAACTGTTGCATCCTGCTCCCACCTTTATAAATATTTAGAGTTCCGTTTTCATACACAGTACTCATTTTGCTAGCTGCTGAAGGTTCCTCACTGTCGGTTCTGTGCTTTTTCCTTTACATTTCAATTCCTGCTTAGAGTACTTTCTTAATTACTATCAAGAGGTCTACAAATGCTGTCTTCTCATATGCAACTGCAACGAATGATTCAGTATGGATCAAGGCATTTAGAATATATTGCTGGCTGTTGTCCAGTAGAGTAAGATGCAGTTCATGGCAAGGTTGCTGAAGCAATCATGGAGCTGTTCAGCAAGAAGTCTGAGCATATCTAGAAATTTGAGAAAGAAATATTCCAGCAATGTTCAGATGGAAATATTAGAAAACCGTATTTTAAAAAAATATTAAAGAACCATTCCAAATAATGAATTGTCTTGAGCATTTCTGTTCCTGGGATTTTTAAATTATGCTGGTGGGAATAGTCGAAGTGCATTAGATTTGGTGACCGATGAAAGTCTTCTATCAAGATGACATGACATAAGCTGACTCTTTAATAATATGTGTTAGATCTTGCAACAAGATCCACCCCTTCTGAGGTTGTCTAATTCTTGTTCTAATTTGATTGATTCTGACTGCAGCAAAGGCTAAAGGAAGGCTGTCTCACTCAGTTACTGGATATCTAAGGTCTAAAAAGCATCCTTTAAGATTTGTTTCCCCTTAAATAGTTACCACATTTCAAACTCTCCTTTTGGCCCAAAAAAGTACAGTCTGCTGCTTTAAATAAAAATAATATGGTTGTGTTGTGCAGTTCTCTGGAAGATTGTGGCTTATATTTGAGATGTTTAAAACTGTGTGGCAGGTGTTCTAATTCTCAATTCTTATAGGTTTCTCTGTTGGCTGTTGATGAAATGCATATGAATTTACCAAGAATGAAAAAAGATATTTACTGGAATGATTCTTCAGCTCGTCCACCATATACATTAGCAGCTGCAGATTCCTGCATTCCATCTTTCCTTGGATCAACTATTGAAATGGGGTATGCAAATCTGCAATGTCTTATCCTACTTTTCATATCCAAATGTATTATATCATTAACAGCCTCTTTTTGTAAATGTTTTAAAAATAAAGTTAGATTTCATTACCTCTCATGTTCTTCACCTAAAATTATATTCCCCCTAACATATTATCATTGAAAGTCTGTTAATAAGGAACATTTTTCAGTAATAAAGGCTATGGAAAAGACTATGAATGCTATGGAATTTTCCATCTCAGATGACATTTGATAACTTTGAGGCATTCTCATAAAAGCTTTTCTTTTTTCCCCACCAATTGAATAGAAATTTTTTTGACTTACCTAAGAATTATATTTTGGTTGATCTTAGCTTTTAGTTACATTTTTAAATTTTTTGTTTAATTATGAGATGTGAACCCTGGTAAGAATAAAAGGCAGACAGAAGATTTTGGCCATTCTTTCTTTCTCAGCCTGGCCTGTTTTGGAGATATGAGGGCAATCCAGAAATAAACCTCCATTTGATTATTAATGACAGACATTTGCAGATACAGAACTTTTATTATACACATTAGAAAACTATATTACATTACTTTTTGACATAATAGCCATTCAAATTAAGGCTCTTGTCATAATGTCTTACAAGGTTTGAAATTCCTTAGTAGTAGTTGCTTGGCACCAAATCTGGACTATAGGGGGGTGATCAAAAACATCCCAGTGGAATTGCTTAAAAAGTTCTTAGGTGTGTCTAGCAGTGTGCGGGTGAGCATTTCGTGAACCAACCTCACACCAGAAGTCAGCATGCCCCAATGCTTGTTATGGATGGCTCGTCTGAGTTTTTGTAACATTTCACAGTAGAATTCTGAATTGATGGTCGAACCATGCTCCATGAACTTCACTAGCAGTACTCCTTTGGCATCTTCACATTTGGCAGGATTTTCTATGGCATCACTTCCGGTGTGGTGTTGGTTCACGATAATGCTCACCCACACACCGCTAGACGTACCCAAGAACTTTTGAAGCAGTTCCGTCGGGATGTTTTTGAACATCCCCCCCATAGCCCAGATTTGGCACCAAGCGACTACTTCTAAGGAATTTCAAACCTTGTAAGATGTTATGACAAATGTCTCAATTTGAATGGCGATTATGTCAAAAAGGAATGTAATGTTGTAGTTTTCTAATGTGTATAATAAAAGTTCTATATCTGTGAGTGTCTGTCATTGATAACCAAATGGAGGTTTATTTCCAAATTGCCCTCGTAAAATGGATGGGCCTATCTTTCACTCAGCTGGAGGAAGAGTGGACAGATTAAACAAATTCAAACATTTCTTTTTGACTTACCAGAACTCACTGATTAAAACCATGAACAGCATTTAAACAGATAATTTTAAATCAATGGAACACCCAGTGCTATTTGAAATTCTTAGGTCAAATCCAACAGGCTCTCCTAAACATTTTAGAAAGATATACAAGGGAGAATTTGGAATCCAAATTTAATTAATCAAGCTGGAAATGCATGTCATAAAATTCCCACTAAATTTACTTTCAGTCATCAAGAATTGACTATAAAATAATCCATAAATTCATATAATATGGGTGTTGTCCAAATATGTGGATTTCATCTAGAATTCGCCAGCATATAATTATTATTGAGAAAGTCAGGCATTAAAGTTCACATGGTCTGAAGAAATGCAACTGGGGGAAGCTGTTCAGTATTTTTTGGGGGGGAGGGATATTGACTATGAACATGATTTTCTTCTCCCTGAAAAAAAATATTCACATAATTTTATTTTAAGGGCAGGTTCACTTGTTGGTTCACTTTTTTGCTTTGTATTTTTTTTATTCTGATGTTTCATTGAATAAAAACTTACAAAATCTTTTTCAGAGAAAAATAAGATATGTTTAATACTTAATAAAATAATGGCATAGCCCAGTGGTGGTGAACCTATGGCACAGGTGCCAGAGGCGGCACTCAGAGCCCTCTCTGTGGGCACACGTGCCGTTGCCCCAGCCTTGCCTCTTTCCGTCACCCCCTCCTCACCAGCAGACCCCCTGGAGGAGAGTCGCCCCTGAGCGTGGTCCACACAGAGCAGCGCAGCCAAGGACATGGCAGCCAGGCAGCATAGACAAGACTCTGCCCTCACACCCCATCGCGCACAGTTGATGCTGCGGGGCACAGGCAGAGGGCATGGCCACAATGGTGCTGCTGGGCTGCCTGGGCGATCTGCGGCGGGCCCTGGAGGTGGTGAGTGGCTCTGCGGGCAGGCGGGGTGGGGGTGGGGCAGGGGGTGGAGCGGGGGCGGGGCCAGTTTTTGGGCACTCGGTCTCTAAAAGGTTCGCCATCACTGGCATAGCCCATACAGCAATGGGCTGGCCTAGAAACCAGGAGGCCTCTAGGCCTTTCTTAGGCATGAAAACCAGCTGGATGACTGGGCCAGTCAATCTGTTAGCCCAACTCACCTCACAGGGTTGTTGTTATGGGAAAAACTAGGAGGAAAGATTATTAGGTACGTTCACTGCTTTGAGTCATATATTAAAAAGCTGGGAATAATAACAATAAAACAATAATAATAAAATAATTGGTTGATTGCAGATCTAATAATATGACTATAGTATTTAAACTATTTTAGTGTTTATACCACTACTTAAGGAATTGTTTGTAATAATAGATACAATTCAAATAGGATCTGCAAAATTTGCAAGAGATAGTGCTTGTGTTTTGTTTAGTAGCCAACCATCCATGCCTTTTCAGAGAAAATCCACTGTATTCCCCTTTCTTTCTCCCCACTAAGGAATTATCATTCAGTCTATTCAAGCTTTATTGAGATTGTTTGAGGATTAAAGGTTCCATTTGTCCTTATAAAGTTTTTTCTTTGTCAATGGTAAAGTGACATTCCTTTGTCAATGGCAAATACACTTTCGATTTTATAGATGGTTTTGTGTGGCAGTTTGCTCTTAATACATAAAATGAATGTTGCATATTTTTTCTTGCAGCTTGGCAGACAGTCAGTTCTTCCATGCAGAAAATTGGCTCCGGGATGATGATAAACCTAGAAGGCAGCATTCAGTGCTGCGAAGAGTGAAGCGCTTTCTGAGCGTCCGAGAAGTCTCCCCTTCGCCCAGCAGGAGGACCTACCAACGACAGTCCAGTGAAAGCTCAATTTTTTTCCCATCACATGAAATGCATCATATTGATAATCTTCTGGAAATGCACTCTAGAGGGAGACACTTCCCTTTAAATGACAGGAAAACTCTTAACTGGTCCGATAAGAATGGAAAAATGCATGGAAGTACGGATCTTAGAGTTATTCGAGAAAGCAGCAAGAATGATACTCTAGAGACTTCCTATCAATCCAAAGTGGATGAGAGAATTAGCAAAATAGACTCACCAACTGTCAAAACTGAGAGCAAAGAAACCAGAGTGGACTCAGACATGTATAAGGTCTCCCATGTCATGACAGGAAAAGATTTGGGCAATCAAAGTGAGTTAGAGACAGATTCTGAAGGAATTGTGCTGACCCATTGTGGAACACTCAATGGTAATGCAGATTTGTTAGTAACACCTTCAGAAACAGAACCTCTTCATATGAAATGCAAGCAACAGGATTCATCTTTGGGTATGCCGAAAGGAACTAAATCACCCTCATCTCAAACATCAAATGTCAATATGGCAGATAATCAAAGATGGAGATTTCCAGATGTTCTTGCTCAACATGAAGTGCTCAATACCAAAGAATTGCCAAGTTCCTCTGGAAAAAGCAACTTAAGTCCAGATAGCACACCTACATCTAGTCCTATTTCTCCAAATACATTTGACATATGTTACTTACTAGAGCAACCAGATACTAAAGAAATCAATATTCTTCATATAGCTGAATTTAACAATGACTCCACTAAAGATCACCTTTGACAAATAGAGTGCTATGGACTCATAGTTTTGTTATAAAATTCTGGCATACAGAATGTTAATTTCCCTTGGAGAAACAAAGCTTTGCAGCCTGCATAATGTCTAACCTACTGTGTATTTTCAGTACGTTGATAAAAACAATTTTAAAATGTTTGAACCTACCTTTATTTTTTAGACAGATATAAATGCAAATTAAATAAGATTAAGAAACAGTGAAGGGAATATCAAAAGGAGTAGGAGAGAGAGAGAGGATAATCAAACTTTAAGAAAGTGGCATTCTATCTCTTTGTAACAGCCTAATTCATTTGTCAGTAAATTCTGAGTATTTAACAGTGAAGATTATCTCTAAAACTCATCCCTGGCTGATGTTGCTTAAATAAAGGAAAACTTTTTCAGGCATGACAACTTGCATTTTGACTTCTATGTAAGCAAAGATTTTCAGAACAGGTGCCTGAAATGATCTGAACTTCAGAAACAAATCATGATAATAAAAAATTATGAGGTTCTCTCAAGACAGGTATGAAATTGACAGTCATTTCTACTGACATATACAAATAAGACTAAGAACTAGAGTCTTTGTAATAGAAGGTATATGATCAGATGACAGGTGGGAGAAAGCGTACCGAATTCATACCCATTCTTGCTTGAAGTTCTTCTTCTCCTACATAAAGATATTTTGGCCTTCCTTTTCTTAGGGAAAGGCAATTTGCATGTTTACATTCCTTGCATGGCTGCTCTGAGAAACTCCTGGAGAATATTCTTCGACTTATAAAACTCTTGTGATTAAAGTTCTTCTATTTCTGTCCCCTTAATATGAAAAGGCTGAAAATGTAACAATGACTTTTTAAAATCTTGGCATACTGCCAAAATATCAATAAAATTGTTGCTTGTAGGAGAATATTCTGCAGTTTTAATGACATCTCAAAGAAATGCATGTCATAACTTCATTTATTTTTTTGTATTGAAGGGTGGGGTGTAAGATGGGCATTTAATGAGAGAAAAGCATAAAGAAAAGTTCACTACTAGCTTCAGGGCCCCATCAGGCAAAAGGGGACTGGTTTCATTCAGCTGCCTCCTTTGGAACAGAATCCGCAATTTAGTGCTAAGCAGGACTTCAGTTTTCCAGCAGGTGAAAACAAAACGGTCAAATTAACTTGAAATAGAATGACTCAGAAGGTTATTTGCTTGATCAACTTTATTTATACATCTGAAAGTCCAAAACAGATTGAACAAAAGGGGGAGATTAAGGAGAAATGATAGCTCTGAACACATCTGGTTTATGAAAAATAAATTTTAGTGAGCAGTATTCATATGGAGAGATGATATTTGAAAGTGGCTGTATTGGGTAGTAGTCTTAAATATCTTGCCTATCTTCATGGCAGACGAGTGGAATCTTATCCAGCCACAGACCCAGCTAACTAATTATACCAATGCCTGAGTCTACAGTGGGGAAACGCCTCTTCCCTCTGCTGAAGATCTGCCTTCTTTGTCAGCAATGAGCTGGGAAATGGAAAAGAATCTAGCAAAACAGGTGAAGAAACTCCATGGGCCAAATCAGGCCTGACAGGCAATTTTTCTTTTCTCGAGGGTGGGGAACTGTGGCCCTTTTATGACTTGTGGACTTCAACTAGCAGAATTCCTGAGCCAGCCATCGTTCCCCACCTCTACTTTACGTCAACTGTAATATACAAATTATCTCCAGATAAGTAACTTTTCACTTACCAGTTGGGTAGTAATAATTAGCAGAATAACAATAATTTTTGCTTTAGAATAAAAATTCTCATTTAGGATTGAAAACTATGACTGCTGTCCTTTGCAAAAATTAACGTACATCATGATCCAAGTAAATGTAAATTAGCTCAGCCAAGTGACTCAGCTTTATGACTTTTGAAAACTTTATTCAGCTATTTCTAATATGGCTATATAACAGGTATTGAGGTTTCAATCATAAATAGATCTCCAATAGATCCTGTTAGTCCTGCCACATCTGACAGTCAATAGGTTGGAAAAAATCACTACACCTCAGAAAGATCAGAATCAAGCTGTAAAAGTGGTCTCCAGATAGTTAAATCCTTTTACACCTTCTCCCCCTTCTCTCTCCACATATCTAAAGCAATTCTTGTTCATTGTGCGAAAGGCAAAATTATCGGTATTATCTCTACCTAGGCTGCTTTACTATTTCTGTTGATTTCTTCTCCTTCCTTTACAAGCTGATTTAGCAAAGCCAACTCTATCATGTCCACGATCAAAAACAGTGTAAAAAGCTGACATAAATACATCTCCTAGAATCCACAATGGTCCTTTATTAGAGATGAGATCCAACGATTGGAAACCACTGTAACACAAGGTCTCATATCTGCTCTTTTCCTGCCAAAGAAAAACAAAGATTGCCATTGGGTACCATGTGCTAGACCTGAAATAGGGGGCTGTGGTGATGAGAAAGTTTGCTGGCCCCTTTAATTAAATGCTGTGAAATTATTAAGAGAGAGTAGTCGCAGGGAGAGACGCTAGTGCATTTCTTTTAATTTATGCTTACCTTGTAGGATTGAGGATATTAGAATGCAAATTATCTATAAGTTTGCATTTTTGAACCAATACATGTAGTGAAATGTATTTATATTCAAAATTCATCTTTTCCAATTTTAAAATCTAGTTCATGAACAATTTTGAAAACTTGTTCATGTTAATTCAACATTTGTACAATATGAATGAATTCCTTCCTTCCTTTTTTTCTGTCTGTCTCTCTGTCTTTTGTTCTGCCTTTAAATTAGTCTTGACTCCTGGTGATTGCCTGGACTATTCCCTACAGTTTTCTTGGCAAGGTTTTCAGAAGTGGTTTGCTATTGCCTCCATCCTAGGGCTGAGAGAGAATAACTGGCCCCAGGCACCCAGCTAGTTTTATTATTAAGATAGGACTGGAACCTAATCTTAGAACACTATGCAAAACTGCAAAAAAAGTTATAAAAATATCCACTGAAACCTGTACTTATAAATTTTGTTGCATTTTTATGTAAAAAGGAAATAAAAGAAAAAGAAACCAAACTCAATAAATAAAAATTGATGTTTTCACAAAAATGAGAATATGACATTAACAAATTCATCCAATCCTATAAATCATTCTAATTATCCTTTCCCCAATCTTATTACATATACTTAACAAGCTAAGATGAAGATGGATGCAAACTCTCATCCGCACTGGGGTTCAGATGCAGCTAGAAATAACATACATTAGATGAATAGCATTCACCACCAGACATCTCTGAAAGTAGAAGTCATTCATCAGTGGAATATTGTAAATTGGCAGGCACTCCCTTGAATCAAACCTCTTAATTGCCAGTTTTTATCTATGCACTACTAAAACTCTTATTATTGTTACCATTAACTGGGTGAAATGGTGCATCATTGGGCAACAATTTTTGAACCATGTTACCTCAAATGGCCTAACCTACAGAATGTGTCCAAAATCTAGAACCCATTAGTCCCAAGAGAATGTGGTCACGTGATTTTCAACATTTGTGACAGTTTCCCAGCCAAGTTCACAACCCTTGATCCCTCACCCACCAAACAGCAGCCTCTTACCTGCTTGATGGGATGGGATGGGATGGGATGGGATGGGATGGGATGGGATGGGAAGGGAAGAGAAGATTTCTAAAGCTTCTTGCCAGTTTCCTTGCCACCCAATGGTGCATGAGTTTTCTAGTATAGTCTATATTTCTTTTGCTTACTCTCAGGCAGACTAAATCCTAAGGCTGGGGTGAGTGGTCTGAAATCTCATGGTTGCATTTGGTCCACATAGTAATTCCCTCCCTTTTTAAATCCTTTAAAGTCAACCTTAACTCCTGACAACTACCTGCACAAATCCCTGAAGGTTTTTGGGCACAGTTTTTCAGAAGTGATTTGCATTTTCTGCTTTCTAGGGCTGAGACAGTGCAACTGCCCCAAGGTCACCCAGCTTGCTCTGTACCTAAGGTGGGACTAGAACTCATGGCCTTTCAGTTTCTAGCCTGATGCCTCCCTCTGACCACAGTTGCCAAATTCAGTGGCCTGATTTATCCATTTAAACATTAACAAAATAAGTCCTGAAATATACTTGAGTTTAAAATTATTATTGTTGTTAATAATAACAATAATAGCCCCCAGAGAGGCACTACCTTGACATGATTGTGGGGCTTGTGTGCTCTGAGGAAGGTGAGAGCTATGCCAGAGGTTCAACTATACTCATCAGGTCTCATCAGAGGAGTCAGACAAAGAGTGTTTCTCCCATAAAAAATATGGTGAGAAGTAAATTTCAGAAAGCCATACTGACTCAGCTGTCACCTGGATTAACAAGGCCTGCGCTAGATGTTGGAGTTCCTGGATATCTGGTGAAAAATGGGCTACAAGATTCAGGAGTGTTGGCTGAGCAACCAGGGCCAGCAGCTGCAGAGCTACTGGAAGAAAAGGTGTTTACCCAATAACAGAACAGAGGTTAGCATATCAACATCGATTTATAATATGAAATAAAGTATTCACAGAAGCACAATTGGAAGAACTGCAAAGATTTACCCAGGGCAAAGAAATCAAAGCCTTGCCAGAAGTAACTCAGAATGTAGAGGCAAACCAGGGGGAGTTGGCAGTAGAGGAATCCAGCAGAGAAATATAACTCTTTTCATTTGGAAACCAGATACCTCTGCCTCAGGAAGACCAAAGCCCTCTAACTAAAGAAATAAAAGAATTGAAAGAAAAAATAATTGAGCATCTAGAACAGCATAAAAACATCAGAATAAAGCTGCCTGCATTGAAGCTTGTTCCAAAGAAACAGCTAACACAAGTGTTAAAAGATGCAAACACTGTAATATCAAGTATAAGCACCAACTCACTGCAAGAAACAAACCAACTAATGTACAGCACAGCTGCAGTTATAACTGAATATCTGGGATACAAAGTCAACAAAGAAGAAAAGAAAGCCAAACAGTGCACCACAAAAATGGATGATTAGACTGGAAAATAAGCAAGATGAGATCAGACACAAGCAAGCTAGAACAGATGAAAGAAAAGAGGCTGAAGAACAAGAAGACCAAAAAATACCTGATCAAGAAATCCCACTTAGAAACAAGGAAGATCAAGGAAGCACTGGAAATAATAAAGCAGCAAATAACAGCTATAGCCAAGAAGATCAGCAGATTTGATGCTTGAATTACAAATTATAGGCAGAACCTCCAATTTCAATCCAATCAGAAATTTTTCTACTAATCCATCAATAGATCAGTCAGTACCTGACAAGAAAGAAACAGTGTAGTTCTGGGTGCAGATATGGGATAACTCAAAGAAATACAACAAGGACGCAGCTTGATTAAAAGAGGTTGATGCGAATAAAAAAGAAGTTGAAATGACAAAACTAGTAATAACAGCA